GAACTACTCTCCTTTCAATAATAGTTATCCTATATTATAACAAATTAATCCACTAGTTATATAACAAATTTTTTTATAACCTTCACTAAAAAATACTATAAATGATAACTTCTACCGCTCACCAATAAAAATTAAATCCATAACAAGACAAGTAATGTAGTGTATGTACTCAGTTGTTTCATATTGACTTGACACGTTTCATTAAATTTTATATTTCAAAAAATTCAAATAATTTTATTTTTGATATTTCATCATTTGTCTGTCCGCTTCAATCTATACATTGAATTTATTTATTTTTTTTAAATATATGAATCAAGTAAAATAAAACGTACCTGGGACCAGCGCGAGTATAAAAGCCAGCATTAATACAAGTGCCTCCACCCAAAATTCTAGCTCTAGAATTAATACAAGTACCCTCTCAATCTATGCCTGAAATTTTAGAGACACGCTTATGCTATACTAAGGTCCTATTACCCCCTAAACATATTTTATTAATAATTTTCTACCCCTTTTCGATCTACTTGGCACTATCTTGTGGGTCCAACGCTGGTTGATTTTTTCTTTCAAGCTAGTGTCAGGTAGATTGAAAAGGGGTAGAAAATTAATTATAAAGTAAGTTCAGGGGTTATAGGATCTTAGTATAGTATAAGTGTGTCTCTGGGATTTCGGGCATATGTATAGGGGTACTTGTACATTTTCCCTATATAAATTTTTAGTTATTTAATATATTTAAAAACATATATTTATAGTTATTTGTTTAGTATAAAAATTAAAAGAAATAATAATTAAAAATTTTATTATTTAATTTATTAATCGATAAAAGATGTGACAAGTCGATACGAATAAAACTAGATATGAAAAGTACTACTTATTTGATAAAGAGAGGACACAAAACTCAACTACACAAGTTTTTGGTAAAATACAGTACAAGTCACTTTGAAGTGTATTAGATCCGTTTGTTTGACTTAATACAAAGGGTAAAATTCAAAATGATTCATAAAAAAAAAAACACAATCTAATCCAAATATGTACACAACAATAAATTCAAAGATTTTGCTCAGAGAAGGTTGTTCATGTGATAAATATTATTCGCGTTTAACTTAAAGATTGTGGGATTAATTTATCGAAGGAGCACATGGATGAAGCTGTAAATAAAAAAATTACTATATAACTTAAATAAAATAAATTTTAAAATATTCCTGTTGTTTTTTACTTAATTTTTTGTATTTGATATTACTTTCGATTAAATTTAAATTTATGCTAAGAAGTTTCATATTAATTAGTTGGTATATTATTATTAAACAAAAATAACTATGTACTCAAAAAGACTCGAATCTATTAAAGGTGGCGACATAAACTTATTAAAACTTTAACCCGACAAATTGATCGATTTTTCAATTTAGCACACATTTTACTCTTTCAAATTCAGCTCAACTAGTTAATTTTTTTTATCGATTTTTCATCTGATTTTTTATATTCAATCCAACTTAATCTATATCTTTTTAGAAAATTTCATATTAAAAAGTAGAAAAATCTCTAGCAAAAATGATCTCATATATATCTAAAAAAAGTAAATTTAAAATCTTTAATTATTTAACACCCATCGTTAATTACGCAGATAATCAAACTACATTTTTGAAAATGAACAATTTCCAACTTCCAGAAAAAAAAAGGAGGAATATATAAAATTACATGACCACACTATTTGTCAGTCACTAATCATTGAGTCTATATATATATATGTCATATGTGTGTGATTTAACCAACAGAGAGGTATCTGTTATATTTACATATATATAACTATATAATATAATATACAAAAAAATATATATAATTTGTCTTTGCATATATATAATATATACTAATAAATAATATAGTTAGCTCGATTATTTTTCCTTATTTAGGTGTGTCCCTTTTTCACCGACCACTTAATGGTTTATATAATTATAGATATTATAAGATCTTAGTTAGGTAGAGGAATTTATATATATATAAAATACAGGAATATATATATGTATACTTGCCCATAATATTATTATTATTATTATTATTATTATTGTTATTATTACCAAACATATTTAATACATACGTTAAACAAAAGCTGGAAGCAAATCTTTAATAGAGGTAGAGGTGCTACATTATTTCACTTACATTTTTTAATAATCTTTTTCGTTTAAAAAAATATGATATAATTTGATTTAGTACGAAATATAAGAAAAAGAGAAAAAAATAATATTATAATCTTAAATTAAATTATGTCAAATATATTAAAATACTCTTTAAATTTTAAAATATTAAATATGTTACATAAAAAATTAAAATTTAAATATCGTAAAAAAGAAGAAAAAAAATTGTTCCTTTTAAACTGATTAAAAAGAAAAGTTCACCTTTTTTTTTGCTAGCTAGCTCATGATCTAGCTACCTTCTTAATAAAATAAATAAATCTAGCTATACCATCTTATAAAATAAATAAATGAGCTATCTTTCATTGTTGTTATTATTATTATTATTGTTGTTGTTATTATTATTATTATTATTGTTATTATTATTATTATTTATCCATCCATCCAGCTGGAAATTATTGTTCCTCTTTTACATTTTCCCTCTTTTTTTCAGTAGTTGATTAATTAAAGGAAACTTAAATTTTTAATTTGCGGTAATAAGTAATAAATGAAATTCAACAGCTATGATAATTTATATTTTTTAATGTGTATTACTACTTATGCATTTGTTTTGTATCGTGCTATTTTACTATCCTTGTGCTTATAATTCTATCACAAATATTTTACTTTCGAGTTAAGAGGTAAATGAAAAATAATATCCCTAACTCATATAGGTAAAAATAAATTTTGTATACATCATAATTTTTTCAGACTCTACTTATAAAATTATATTACGTGTATATTGTGCCCACAGATTTTAGTGGGATTCTTCAAGTTCACAAGTTCATGCTCAGTACAGATCGAACTAATTACATGTAATTTGTTTTTTTAATTTACTTGACTTCCTAACTAATTAAAATATTTGTTATTTAATTTCTTGATGGGCACGATAACAAATGAAGGATTTTTTCGGTAATAGTATAATTATTGTTATGTTATATTTAGTGGTAATAATAAATGAGTATTAAAAGTCTGCATTTTATAAATGTCGCTAAGGGCTATAGTGACTCTAAATGCATCATCATGAACTCAATAGTCGATAAATCTTTTTGCGGTAATATTTATCTCTAGCGACTCTAAATGCATCATCATGAACTCAATAGTCAATAAATCTTTTTGCGGTAATATTTATCTCCATCATAAATTAGAAGTCTCGAATTGAGCCTTGAATATGAAAAAAATCATGTTTGAAGTTCATTTCACAATGCGCGAGTACAAGTTAGTCAAACTTAATGCAGATATTACATCGGATGAGAAAATTTTTTTTTTAAAAAAAAAGTTTCTTTCCTTTATCTAATATTGTGAATATATAGATTCCAACTTCCAAGTATTCAATCACATAACATAGTTAGACGCTAGAGAAATAGACCTTTGAAAATAACTTTACATAATTTTGTCACAAATATTATAAGTGCACCCAGCTGGACCTGATATATTTGTCACATTTCTCTGAGAAAATAACAAAAATGGTGTTCATTTGGTTGAGGGTTGATTCAAATAGCCTCTCTTTAAAGATGCATTAAATTATTATGGTTTTTTAATTATTATTTTCTAAAGTTTAACACTTTTAGTCTGTCAGAACAGTGAAAAAAACTATTTGACCATAAACTCCAAAACAACTTCTATGTCAAATAATTAAATTTAACCAATATTTTAAGATGCAATTTATACTATCTGTTTATAACTTTTTTAATATAAATTTTAATTATTTTTAAAAAAAATTAGTCAAATTGACTCGCAAAACAAATGTAACAGCCATTGAGAGAGTACAGTATATAGTATAGTTCTTGTAAATGGCTTCTTTTGAAAAATTCAATTTACTCATTCAATTATAGGTTTCTCAAAAAAATAAAAATTATAGGTCTCTCACATGGCTCAGTAATAGCATAATAATAACTCAGCTATTACACAACTAATAATTGACAAAATTGGAAAGAAAAATACTAACCACTAATATATAGCTAGATAAATAATGTATATTACAGCCTAGCAATTCAATAATGGGTGGTCCATACACTCTTCTTACTCTAAAAATAGTAATACAATCTTTCATTTTTGTAGTAACTATGGGCCCGTTTGGATGGGCTTAATAAAAGCAGCTATAAAAAAGTATTTTTAAAAGTGCTGAAACTTATTTTTAAAATAAGCAGTTATGCGTTTGGATAAAAGTGCTGAAGTTGTTATGTCAAACGTGAAAAGGGAAAAATAGAAGAAAGAGATGTTAGGGTTATATGGGTAATTTGGAGATTGTATAAGAATATTAAGGAAAAAAAGATAAAAATGTGGTCAACTTAAAACAGCTTATAAGCTAAAAAAAAAAAAGCATCCCTACCCCAACTTTTAACTTTTGGCTTAAAATAAATTTTTTTTAACTTAAAATAAGCTATTTTGAGTATTGCCAAACAGTTAAATAAGTCAAAAATCAGTTTTTAAGTCAGTTTGACCAGCTTTTAAACTGAGCCAAACAGGCTCTATATCTCACCTGTTTTTTATGGCTTGCTAGTTTCTGATACATCATTATAGAAACTACTAAAAGTATGAGGATTACCATAGGCTAATTCAAAAACATAATCCACAAAAATTCATATAACAAAACTGAAATGTAGAAACCTAGATAATGAGAATTCATATAACCGACCAAATTCGTAACGTGTTACGATGTAGCTTCACTCTACATCAAAAAAGAAATAACATTTCAAGGATTCACTAATAATGTTGACAAAAATCCCATCTCATTAGAAATATAGTTTCTGATATCTTTCATCAGCTTATCCATAAAATACCGACATTATATTAGGCTTCTCACAAGAAAATTTTGATGGCAAACAAGGAGAATGATAACAAACAACACAGAAAAGAATGGCCCTCTTAGTTCACCAACAAAATAAAAATCAACTGTAAAAAGAACAAGAGAGAAATAGAACACAGCCTATTCGGTGTACAAAAATCAATGCCTTCAGTGTCTGATTCTTTCATATGCTTTGTCTCTAAAAGTGCTAGCCGCAACCAAGCATACTTGTGCACCATACCACGTCTGGATGAGCATTAAAACTTTGCTGTCGCAGAATAAGAGTGGGTGTTATAAACAATAGCTTACTGTGCTTTGTCATGTAAGGAGGAGCTAGAGTATTCTGTTCCATTTTCTGAAGTTACTTCGGATGTACCACTGGTTGATACATCACCGTGATCGTTTGTGCTACCGCGGAAGCTCTTTGATGAAAGAGCGGGGTTAGCCTGAGGTTGACCATTTGCCACACCTTGTCCTTCCTCTGCTAGTCGTTTAAGAAGATTCATGATTGTAGGAAGGAACTTTGTGGATAAAGAGAGAAGTCCAGGAAGCTGCCAAAAAGCATATATAGAAAGATCACATCCCCAAGAAGACCATTATTTCTTAAGTTTCCACATATGTTAATGAAGCAATTATAGAGGATAAATAAGATAAACCAGAGTGGTTGTTTGAATTGCTTTTCCTTTTTATAAAGACTTTTGGTTGAATTAATTTTTTCAATAGATATTTGGTTGAATTGCTTCTAGTTTGCAAACATTAAAATTCTGAGAAAGAAGATTCGGCACTTACAACTCCATTGCGGAATTCGCCTGAGATATCCATTTGCACCCAAAGAGCTTTAAATAGCAGATAGGCGACGAATATAAACCCTAAATATAAAGGATTTCTGGAGAGGAAAAAAAGAAGAAGCAAAACCCACATGAGCTAGAGATAAATCATGTTATACTGTAAATATAGGGGGCATCATGAACTACAAGTCAGAAAGAATACCTTAAAAGTGTCATGAATTCATTGAATCCCAAAATCACCATGGCAGCAATTGCCCATGGAGGTGGTAACCAATTATTGTTTCTCTTGCTAGCTTCCTGAAAGATGAATAAGAGAAAATCAGAAGTTATCAAGAACAAAGTGCAAAACTTCAAATAAAGATTATTGATGCCAGAACATAACCTACAGGTGTATAGGTACTCTCCAACTTTTTAGAACTACAAAATTAGAATTCATACACCTAGCATGAAAGACAATCAACCTCCTAGTACCAAAAGGTTCATCCCACTCTTTGATTAAAACAAGTCGGGTGTTCAAATTTCAATGGACATGATAACTTCATCTGCTTTTAATACCATTTTTTAGTGAATATAGCCAGCATTTACAATACCTTCCTACCCTAGTTGAAACTTCTCGAGCTTCAACCGACAATCAAACAACATATTAGAATGCACTGTCAGAAAAGCAGAAAGAGATACAGAGTAGAATCTAATATCTTGCCTGAGCAGCAATGGCTTGTGAAACAACATATTCAGTCTCCGTCTTGAATTGCCTCCACAAAGACTTGCACTGGACAGGTGTGATCAAAGTTTTTGATGGAGGGACCTGCAATATAAATTAACCACAAAATGAAAACTTTGATGGACTGAACTATACCATGCAAAGATTACTTAATCATACAAAAAAAAGAGTCTAGTCCCTAAAGACCAAAAAAGTTCTTGGGGACCTTTGTAGTCATTTCAGGTCGAAAAAACAAAAAATCATTAAGCTGAAGCAAATAACGCCTCAGACTATGCTGTGGAGATCAGCGTGTACGTTAAGGACTTGATTGTATTATATTCAATGAAAAGTTTCACATAATTTAGTTGATCATCACCAGCAAGATCCCCAAACAAAATATTTACACTCTGAACTGTGTAATGCTGATTGGCCTATTGATGGAAAGAATCTTATCTTTCCCCTTTTCTTCAGTCAATTTTTTTGCTTGTTCCAAGACAAACGACACAAGTAAGCCAATTACCTCATCCCAAGTGCTAGATGCTAGAGGATCAACTGATGTAATGCTCTTTGAGGAGGAAGCCCCTGCTTTTCCATCTACAAGAGCAACTATAAGTACTTTGTCTATACTGTCACTCTCATCTTCCAAGCGAACTGCAGCCATAACTGACAGGAGCTTCAGAGACTGGGAGAAAATTGAGAAAGTCAGTACAATCTTAGATGTAATAATTGACAAGTGAAATCACAGACCAAAAAATGGAAACTTGTGTCAGTCAATCATACAGCTGATCGTGCAGTTTTAGTGATTGCGCGAATATCTTCCTTGCCAGTCCAAATTCGTGGCATAGAATCTTGATCATGGCTGAACAATGTTGAAAACCTGCCAAATAGTTTTCAGCTCATCATCATATTCTTTGAATAATAAATAGTGTGTCAGAGCTGTAGAACAAAGATCAACTGATGTCCATACCTGTCCTTCATGCGACTCAAGACCCTTCCAGCTTCTTCCTTTGCCTTTGCTTCAACTACTCCTCGTGCATAATCTTTCAACCGCAAAACCATGTTATCCCTACTTTCTTCATCCATTTCAAAACCAGAAAGTGCAGCAGCAAAACCAGAGACTGCTGTATCAGTCTCACGCTGAAGCAATTTTCTTATTGCCGGCCATGTATCATCGCCAGCTCCATCTAAAAGAGCCTCAACTGGTCCAGCCAATGCCTCGTTCAGTTTTGTCTAACAAAGAATTTCTCTTCAGTTCCAGATAAACTAACAATTAAACTTACAATCAAACGGTCCTCCCATTTGTTTGCTATCATCTAGGATCCATTAACAACAACAAATAGTTATAAATATTATGCATCTGGGACCACCTGATTGAGCTATCAGAGGCAACCAAGTGATGGCATGTTCCTTTAATCAGGGAAATGATCTTAAACATCCTAAGTATGCCAACACCCATTTTTTTACCTCAAAATCCCAGAACAGAACACTACAAGAAAATGAAGTGAGTTCCACAAAGTCAGATTAATATAGTAAACTTTGGCCCTAGCTCAACCTCGAAAATTACATGAGAAGGTGAGGTAATAGGGAGATGACATCCATGCACTGGTCTGATGTGGGACCCTTACCACCTCAACCAAAACACACTCTAACATATGGGTTTATTGTTGGATAACAAAACAACAGAGAAAGATTGGTGTGGCTTTCCTATCATGTTAAGAAAATGGACCTTGGGGATTGTTCAATCTCAAAAACTAGCTCCAGAAACGAGAACCCTCCAAAAATGTAAGGAGACAGTAGCTAAAAAGTGAGACTTAATAGTAAACTATAAAGGTTGTCACATTTCGTACCTCATACAGGGTTGTCACTTCAGCCAGCTTGGCACTGCGAACTTCAGCAATATGAGCATCTACATCACGCCTCAGCTTATCCTTCACTCTTGATGAGTCCCATTTTGCTTGGTCAATAATAGCATCTAAAAAATAATGCATCAGCTGTCAGATTTCAAAAGGCAAGCTGCTGACTCTGTGCTCAACATTTTATTTCCCGCACAAAATATTACCTATTTTGTGTGTTTCATTAACTACAGGGTCGGCAAGATCTTTAGAAGAGAAATATTAATGAACACTAGTTTCCTACAAATACTGAAAATCGGCAAGTGATACAATCTCTTAGCAAAAATTATTTTCTGGCTTGATATTTCCAACCAGAAAAGTTGTTATTTCTCCAAGAGAGGGGAAGAAGAATATATCAATAGTCATAGCAGCTCAAATCCCATGCACCCAAAAAGGCATAGAAGTGGGTACTAGCAACAAAAAACAACAGAAATCTACCCTGCAAACCCAAGTGAACATTTCAAGAAACAATCTATCAGTAATAAGCAACAACTTCAACTATAATTGACATTTAAGAGAAGCTTAATCAGATCTACAAGTCTACTCCCAGAGTATCAACAGTTTTTATGACTACGGGCCTACGCTCCCTACATTGAGATAGGGTATCAACTCCTTGATCGTTTTTAATGAGGGGATTAATCATGAATGATAATGTCCTCATCAAGTCGGGTAAACCAGTAACAGCAATGGCAGATTTCATCCTATACCTGAGCATTCTTCATCAAAATGGGACATAAAAGACTCAGCACATTCACGAGCAGCCAGAGCAAACCCTTTACCCCCCTTCAATGACTTCTCAAACGCTTCTTTAAATCTTTCAAAAGCATCAGATCGGATGTGTCCCAGCATAGATTGGTAGGCTGGTTGGACGAGCTACAAAAGACAGGATACAATCAGAAGACGGCTGCAATTAAAAAAAGGCCCTTCATTTTGAGGAAAACGAGTAAAATATTGTCTTTAGAAAATGCATTTGCATCATTAGTTGAAAAGTACCATTAAGTTTAGAAATTTTAGCATGTGCATTCATTTGGTTTACTCTAAGAAGCCAAAGAGTTCTCATCAGGACACAAAAACCAGAAAACTGGGTTGGTCAATTTAGAATGGCTAATGCAGGGAATATACCCAAAGGATTGTGTGTATGTAGTAAAACAGGTCTAGGAGAGACCGAGAGAGTAGAGCATAGCCCGGTACCTGAAGCAATTTCTCTTCCAAATGCTTTCGCTTTGAGGATCTAACCCCTTCATCAAAGAAGGTAGCCTCGACATCATACCTATGAAGAAAAAGATCTTATTATCCATGTGTGATCTTATAATGTATATATGCATAAATGAAAAATATTAATCACAAACCAAGGGAGAAAAATGGTAAGAAAAATTACAATGAAAAGAATATTCTCCATTTCAATTTATATGATTCTTTCTATTTCAGGACATCAGAAAAATCCCTGCTATAATTATACATATAACCACATATTTCAAGCTCTAAAAGATCAAATTCATTCAACTGATCAAAGTCACATACTTTGATCAAACTAACTCTCACTTACTACTATTGTATTTGCTTCAAACTCATATTCAGGCCATACTGTCACAAAATGAGTGATATGAGATTGAAGCCCAACACATCCACAGGATAATCGTCACAAAAAGGCAGATGTTAGACATATGTGCAGTAATACAAGAACAGAAAAAATTAGAAATGGATCACATCCGGCAAAATGTGCCATTTTGTAGATATGAGTATGACGGTTGAAGTGCTTAGAGATAGAAAGATGTAGATAAGTTTCAAATGTAAAAAGCGCTTATATTCTCATGGAATCAAGGAGATTCAAAAAAAAAAAAGCAGAGTACTTATAGAATAGATTCCAACTAGTTGTGGTAAAGGCTCAGTAGTTGTTATATCTTTGATATAGAAAAAATGAGGAAGAACGCACAAAATGAAAAAAAAAAGGGGGAACTGGACAGCGGAATGGCAGGCGCCCTGCAGTATTACCCATCCACTATTATTACTCTAAGAGTAGAATGGACAAAAGACGGTAGAGGAGAGAAATATAATCCTGCAAAAAGAGGGTGGGGTGGGTGAGTAAAGTTGGGGTAGAGGGAGAAGAAAAAGAAAGTTTTACCGGAACTCGGGGACAAACAATGAGCCTGCTCTTCTATCCTTCCCCACTTAAACACTATAGTGAGTTGCTTGGTGCAAAGCTCGAACATCTGACCAAAGGCACAAACCCCTCAACCTTTGGCAATTGACTAACTCTAAAAAGAAAGATAGTGCACCAGAGGTAATTCTCCAATAACTGAAAGGACAAGAAGATGGATGGAAGGAGGAACTCAGAGAGAAGGGTTTGCTTCCTTCATTGTACCCTTTCTTTTATCAGTTCGTAAAAAACCTTTTTTAACATACCTAGTAACACCTCACCACTATTTATCGGGAAAAATACTTCATTTTAGCACAATATGGCAAACATACTGTACAAAGTGCTCATCTAAATCTCTTTGATTTCCTATATTGATGCTAAACCAAAATAAGGTCCGCCAGAACCTCAACCATAGTTCTAGCATATCATTAGTTCTTGTGTATATCAACCTAAACACTGCTCCAGCAGCATTTCCTTCCCAACACCTTAAGTCATTAAACAGCTAGAGAAGGGAGGAGCATCTGATAAGAACAAATTTTCAAGGATTCTAGTAGAGAACTAGATACGGACAAAATTCAGAGAAACCAGTTGGTCTTATCCTTTGTCCACAACGCTCTTTGATGCTACTCTTCTAGCTGTTTGTCATACCATAAGCTTTATCAAATGTGATGAAACTGCAGTGATCAATTAATTCGTATATTCTCCTTGCTCTAATCACAAGAATGCTTAGATGTGTCCTTCTGGAAGGCAAGAAATATCACATTAAGAACATCCGCTCCAGATGAACTTCACATGTGACGATACTAGCTTTCCAACATCTTTGTGTGTGTTACTAGAAGCACAACCATGTTATACCACACGAAAGTTGTGTCCTTACTCTGATAGACAAGCGTCCAAAATTGAGCTGACCTTCCTTCCAAAGCCTCGTACAGAATGAGAATTAACTGCCTCTTCTAATTGAGACCATTCCTACAACAAGGTCAATCAATTTAGAATTAACAATGGTCTTCAAATTAGTAAATAAAACAGAACAAGATATAACTTCTCAAATAAACCTCTAAACAACTCTGTATACCTCATTTTCAGTGAAAGAAACATATTTTTCATTGGCAATCTCTTCACACCGCACCGTAGCTACCATAACCTGTAATAGATCAAAATTAAGTATGTCATTAATATAACTAACTGACAATTTCAATAACAGTAAATTTTTAGGTTATAACCTTATGGGCAGGCAGGTCAAGGTCCTTGTTCTCCTTTATAACCTTCCATATCTGTTGTGAACTAAATGAAAAGCCTGATGCAGGAACAACAGCCCGCCTATCTCCAGCAAGCCCACCAGGTGCAATAGAATGAAAGAATCGTTGTCTGAGACTAGCCACCTTAAAAAAGAAGCATGAAGGAACACAAATATGTAAATCAGAGTCAACTAAACAAAAAGAGTTAAGTCTTCTGATCTGATCATTGGCTACAACATATCCAAGACAACCATATGTGATAAAAATAGATGTAAACTACTAAGGAACATATATGTTTAACGAATGCTCCCAAAAAAACACATACCTGCTCTTTGAATTGTTCTTCCTTCTCTTCAAAACTAGAAAGAGCCACGACCTCGACCTGGAGATTCAATTCACCAAATCTGTGAGCATAGATATAAACAGACAAGGAGATTGTAACAGCAGATGAAATCTTACTGTGACTCACATTAAAAAACTCACTTAACGGTGTATCCTTGTGAGCTTGCGGCTTTGGGACAGAATCCCATATCTATACAGCAATAAAATCAATAATGTTAAGTTTAGAAGGGATAAAAAAACAACAAAACAAAAAAACACATGAATATGGTACCTTCTGAATGTCTTCCCTTAGAACAGGTTCCAAGTTTTCGAGGGGAGTCTACAAATGAAAGTGAAATAATAACCTGCTTAAATACACTTGTTTCACAGGACAGGTAGATACTATAAATAGCAGAAAAGCACTTCTGAGAGAAGGCACCTACCCTTGTTTTGTCACGAATAACAAACATCAATGTCGTTTTACGTGGACTAAATAACCTCATCATAACCTGGTCAAAAAATAGTAAGTTGTAAAACATCCGGAAGGAATGTTCATATAAAGATACAGCTATGTACTTTACCTGGAAGACAGTCTTCAAAAGAGGCTTATTTGCAGCTTGCTCACGACCAATATCATGACACCACCTGAATTGTTAAAACTTTTGAGTGACACATACATATTTTCCTATAATTTCAATTTATTAGAAGTTCATGTACTGCATATTTCACATAATAGAGGAACTTACATGTTGATGAGCACTATATCAGAAACAGCAAGGGCGAATAGAGCGCTCTGCTTCTCAAATGCAGTGTCATCCTACAAAAAAATAGCAAATCCTGAATGAGAAAAAATAAGCTCAATTGCTAGTTATCCCACGTCATGAGCAAGTTTATGCAAGGATCATCTCAAATTTCGGTTAGCTCCAAATTAATCACAGAACAATTAACAGTTCCCATTATGTCGAGCAAGGAAATCCATAGACATCTTTGGACACAGCGCAACTACATTAACATGCAGAATACTGAGATAAAAGATCTCATAGACCGGGAAGCTACTGAAACTGTTCAAAAGTTATTCAGTGAATTCATCATAGGATTACAATTTACAAAGAGGAAGCTACAGTGATTTTGAAATTTATTTTTATAGAGCAAGAAGTAGCAATGTGAACTAAATCGATGATCTATACTTTAATTTTTCAACAACTAAAACACAGTTGTCTTCATGATGATATCTGATATCTGCACCCTTATTAAAGGTGTAAGGCATTTGGGGAAAATGCTTCAAGGATAATATGCATCTGGTCACACGAAAATAAATGATGGCGTTGGCCTTATCAGGTGTTGTGTGTCATGAGCATGTAACTTGTTTTGAATTTATCTATTTATATAAGCCCAACCAATGGAAAATAAATCATCATCTAAAAAGTACTTTCAACACACCTCTCCTCGTTCTCTACCGTCTGTGCCTTCTAAATCCATGACAAGGGTGCAAGGCTCAATCCCAGCACATCGAGCCATCCAAATACCTTTTGTAGTTTGCGACCTAGAAAACACTTAATTCGATCAGCTGACCCCTACAATTAAACAGCAGGCATCTAGCAAATAAAACAATTACACATACCTTCCCTTGTATGCATCCATCTCTCTAAAGTTAGTATGAAAAAGATGATTTAACAGAGTACTTTTCCCTGCATTACCACGGTTAAATTTAGTCACTATTGGGAAACCATATAATAGCATTGGTTCCAAAAGGAACATTAGGATGATTAGTGCAGTCAAGCAGTCAGGATAAATAAGGAATCCTGGCAAAAAGGAGAGGATAAGACTTGAGGCACTCAAAGACATGGACATAAAGATCTGATTCAGCTCCAGTGTTGGTCAACATGAAGCATTCACATACGAGGACTTAAAGATATGATAAAGACCTACTATTCGTCAAGCTTCATCAATCTAATTTGAAGTCATTGTAATCAAAAGTGGTAATTATTTGAGGTTTTTTGAGAGATAATCCATACCGCTACTTTGTGGGCCCATAATAGACACTACGGCATATGAAAGACCACATTCTGCTAGTTTAACTTCCTTCATGAAGTTCTCGACTCCAGCAACATTGAACATTCCATCCCCATCAATGAGGTGAGTTGAACAACACTCATCCTTGTTATCTGAAAGCATTAGACTATTAGTTTACAAAAACCCAGCTTCTGTACATGAACAGAACAACCTTCAATAAAGCATCATACTACTTCATAACGAGATAGAAAATGGAGAAGCTTCAGTTGATTCAGAAAAGCTGAAAGTTCCATGGTTAGGCAATCAAGTGGTTAAGTAAAATCTACTCTTATTTATCAGTTCCAACCAACCTTCCCTGTTGAGGGCACCCTACATTTTCTCACAACAGACAAAAAGTATGTTCAACGTTCACAGTGTGCAGTAGATTCCAACCCCAAAAAAAAACACTTCCAAGAATCAAATCCTTCCTAAACTACTTTATCTATGGCAACCAAACTATTCCAACTTGAAAACATGCATGAGCTGCAAAACCCCAATTACATCTACGAAATCAAAGGTGACTCCATCTCTAAACCAAACTACAAGAAGAGCATAGTTAACCAAATTGAATCAACAAGAACCCATAAATCAAGATCAAGATTTACAGAACTCAAACACCCAATAAGCAAAAACCAATCTTCCCAAGCAAAAGAAGTAAGCTTTCTAATAAACCCAAGAAAAGAGGACTAAACCATGAACCCCCATTAATTCATAACATCCATTTATACAAAATCAGTAAACGAATCGCTAAATTTTAGGGGTTTTGAAGAAGGGGGATTGATATAAACCTTCAAGAATCAATAATGGATCCGAAGAGAAGAAAGTAAAACATACCCATCTGAGAAGTAGAAATCTCGATCAAAAGGTCACAATCAAAGATCGCAAAGACTTGAAACTTGTAAAGCAGTAGACAATTTGCGATCTCAGATGAAGGGGGTAGCAAGCAGCAGCCCCTTTTTGTCTTAAAAAGTGTGCTTAGACTACCCGATGATCAAAGGACACAGGTGAAATATAAAGGAAAAACAAAAAGAACAAAACAAGAATTTTGCACTAACACTTTGGTAAACCTTTTTTCCAATTTTTTCACAGAGAAGTGAAGAAATCAAATGGTGATTTTTTAGGTTGAAAATTCAAATAGACAAGAAACATGAGTGGGTTTAGTAACACATAATTAAAGGGATAAAGAATTTAAATGGCATTTCGATAAATTTTATTCGGATTAGATTCAATTTGAAAATAATTTTTCCATCTCTTTATAGTTTAACATAATCAAAAAAATATTTAAAGATATAAAAACGAGTTTTATTTAAATTAGAGTTCTTGAAAAATAACTTATCTACACTACACCTATTTAATGTAGAAGAAATGAGAAATTTTAATGCTAAAATTAATAAAAGTTAAACTTTAAATAATTATCATAATATTTTCTCTTATAATATTAATATTATACATAGGTAATGATGAAAATGTTAAGACAATACAGATATAAATTTAATTTTGATATGATTACATATTAATATGACTGTTGAAATTGAGTAAAATATTTGATAAGTAACAGTAAAAAATTATTTTATTATGTCAACAAAAAATCATAACTAAATATTTTACTTTTATTTGTAACTAATTGTCTAAACTTAATATTTTATACGTTTACGTGTTGATAAAATAATTTATCTATCTTTTTTCAAAGTTTGATTTCTTTCTAAAAAAAATTTACTTCTATTCCTCGTTGACTTTTTAAAAAATGTTATTGCAAATATAGTGCAATGTTTTCTTTATTACTCCAAAATTATAGCCACATACAAGTTCATTGTTTTATTTTTCTTATGAAAAATAATTTGTTTTTTTTTAATGTCAATCATGAGGATTGAATTTGTTCATCATTTAACTTATTGGGAAAGCTGAAAAGGTAATGAAATGAAATTATGAAATGGTAAAAACTTTTACTGTCTCCTACTAATTACCGTGTCATGCTTCATCAATCCCACCAACCATTACAATAATAACTAATTTTACGGTTATTCATCGTATTAAAAATAATTATTCAATAATATTTATTTAAATTTAAATTTTTTTACTATTATCTAACATATTTTTAAGATATTAAACTTAATAAAATTAAAAAATAATATGATAATATTTATTTATTAGAGAGTTAATCAAATCAATAATGAATTACTATTATTGAAATTTACTGCTAAAATTAGGCAAAGCGAGTGTATGTAATATCATTTTTTTTATTTTACCACCACTTTTATTTCAATTCATGTAATATTATTCACTATTTTTTATAAATTGGTTATACAATAATAATAATTATAAAAAGAATGAAGGAAATTAGCATGACGAAGTCTAATAAAATGACCGACATGCGGTCCACCAACCGTCCATTTAAGATTTTTTATTTTTTATTTTTTTAAAAAAAAAAAGAAAAAAAAGGTGAGACACCGTCCAGCGGCGCGTGTGGCCCGTAATATAGAATAAAGTTATATAGACCAAATATTCCCTTAATTCTTTTTTGTAAAGTTATAAAAATAGAATTATATTTCCTAAATGACTTGTTAATCTGTACTTCAAATGGTCCCAAAAATATTAACTCAATTAGTTATTCTTCAAATTAACAAATGATTCAAGCGATTTAAATAATTATTTTTGTTTTTCGTTATATATTCGAAATTTTTATTAATGCTCTACCTAAATCTAGATCGCGTTTTATCAGGCTCATTTGGGGTGACGCTTCAAACATAATTTTTTTTCATATCCAAGACTTAAATTCGAGATATTTAATTATGGATGAAACACTCTCATCAGTGCACTACAACTCATGTCGATGACCTAAACAATTAAATAACATGGATCAAAATTACATAATTTGACGTTTTTTGTTTCATTAAATTATATCAAAACAAATTAATTACAATAAAAGATATCTTAATCAGATCTTCGAGAAAATCAATGAGCAACTTAACGGTGTTATTCTAATAAAACATGAGTCTTTATATTATTAACTAAAAAACTCAATTATTAAGAGCAATTAGTCGAGCTGCATTAATAAAGTGAGATATGATCATTTCCTTTTATTATTACTTTCACTTGTAATTGATGATTATAGCATACTATTGATTCCTTAGTCCGATTGATATATCATAAATAATGTGGATTATAAAATATTAATTATTTATAATTCGTACTTTTTACTTGCTTGTTGATGGAATAGTTTTTCATTGTCTCATCGAGACTAATAAAATTACAAAGCATGACAATTTCCACAAAGTAAAATTTATCAATATGTGAAGAATATATTATTTTATTTAACTTTTGTTATTTTTTATTTATAGTAAAATTTAAATAAGTATACAAATTTATATTAATTTGTGGGCCCTACTTTAGTGACACCTTAGTGGTAAAAAAGAGGTTTTGAATATGTTTTCCACCCAAGAGTTATGGGTTTTCATTGTCAATTTTTTTAAAACCCTCAAATTCATAATTTCGTCTCCAAGTATAGCTCTTTAACAAGTAGGTCTGAAATGACCCCTAACTATAATTTTACTGGATTTCATCTTTAATTTCTTTAAAAGCTTATTACTTTTAGTTCACAGGCTATAAATTTAGCGGTTTTATTCCTTTAAGGAATTTAAAACTTATTCGTCTCTTAATTATGCACTTATCAATTTTATTTCTTTAACTATTTAAAAATGTATAGTCTTCGTTTGTTTTTTTAACACAAATAACTTAGATTTATATTAACAGACTTTTGTGAAATAAAATCTCTAATCAATTTTTAAGTTATTTTTCTATTCTCGTTCTTCAAATTATTCTTATAAAAAGAACAATAAGCTTAATAATTCAAAGTAAAATTAATGAGGAAGAAGGTATAGGTCCTATTTTACTTAATGAATGATAAAATGAAACATATAGTCATTGCTAATGACATGAATATAATGTTTTTTCTTCCTTGGTGGCTAACAGTTCACGATCAATGCGTTTTTAAAAAAAATTTACATAGAAAAGACAAATAATTAATTTGATCTTATTGCTCAATTTTCTAAACGTAAAATAAATGAATAAAATAATAAAACTAATCTATATTTTTTTTTAAAAAAAAACAAGTTGTTAAATCTATCATTTCTATAAATTTCAACTTATGAAAAATTAAACAAATTTCTTTCGATAAAGTCGTTGGCGTACGAATTTGTATTCAACAGTTATAATCTCTTTTTTTTTATGATGAAATTTAGCATATTCAAGTCACTACTAGCAATAGTATGCTTCATTTGTATCACCCGTTGAATAAATTATAACTTATATTTTATTTCCTAGTAAACTTTATTTTAAATCTTTGAGGTTAATTTTTTGCATCTGGGTAATTTGAAGCAAGGGGAGAAAAGCAACTGGAAAAATGACTAAAAGATTTATTTTTCCGAGACATGAATTTCATTAATATAAGACCAAAGTCATTTATATAAAATTGATAGAGACCAAAGCTAATAAATATATATATATATATATAAATGAAGATCATAGAAGAGGTGATGTGGCACCTCTCTATGACCTCCATTCATTTTTTCTTATTTTTCTTTTTTTATTTGACTATTTTTTTCTTTTTTTTCAATTATTTTTTTCTTATAAACTTATATCTCTTTAGTTATATAAATTCAATTATTAAATTAGTATTAATAATATTCATAACCCTCAAACCTTTCATATTCATAACTTCTTAAACCTTTCATATTCATAATTTCTAATTATTCAATGTGAAACGTTACATTAACACTATAAAATCATACTAAAATTGTGTGTTATTTTGTAGTCATTTTGGGGTAGAGAATTAGTGGAAGAAATGTTACAATTTTTGGGTAGATAAATTATTTTGTTTTGTTATCTTTGAAATTTATTTTATGACTAATAATGTATCTGTTATTATTTTTCTTGACTTTTGTACATAGGATAAAATGATAATATCAAGCGATAAACATTAATGGATTTTGAGTTATATATATTGATTATTTGTCAAAAATGATTATGTAGTAGAATTTATGATTAAATGTATTTTTCCCTTATTCTTTATGAGATATAATATTTTATTTTGTTAACTTTGAGATTCATTTTAGGACTAATAATTTATTTGTTATTATTTTTCTTTGACTCTTGTATATGGGATGAAATGAAAATATCAATATATGGAGATTAATGGATTATTATTTATTTTTTTAGGTCCTTAAGAAGTAATGTTTCTATTATATTATTTCCTTTTGAATTATTTATGTTTTGTCAAAAATGATTATTTGTGTTTAAATGCAATTTTCTCCTTACTCTTTAGTTTTTCTTCTTTTGGTATATAACTTTTTAACTTATTTAATCAGATTTGCCGATTATAGGAGATATATCTATAATGAAAATAGTTAGACATTCTTGCATCATTTGAATTTACAAGGAAAAATAATTTGATATGTGTAATATAATTACAACTCTTTCTTTGTTGAATCATACATTTAATATTATTTTTTTATGTTCATGAAGATAGAAATCATGAGTTTTTTTAAGAAAAATATCTAATTTATTCTCCCCAAACCTTTATATGATTTTTAGATAATTTAACTATATTATAATGATAACACTCTTCAAAAATAATTATTTGGTTAGGTAAATTCATCTTTCACTTTTTTATTAATAATATTAGTTTATTGTGTTTGTGGCTTATAATATCTTAAAACATAGAATAGAAGTAGAAAATGAGTAAATAAATATCGATATGCTACTTAAAGAAATATGTACATATACTTTCATGGTCCAGTGAAACAATTTTTATTAACAAAAAATGATAGAACATAAGCATGTAAAGTTAATTTATAATTTTGAAAATACACATGATTTTATTAAAAATAAATTATTTATTTATATGTAAAATTGCAATTCTTAAATTTTTCATTTTTGTTGTTTTTCTTAGAAGATTTCAAGTTGTTTATGATTAAGTCTTTATATTTTCATATTTGTTATTTTTCCGGAGTTCTAAAGTTATTTCAAAATTACGATTAATTTATAATTTTAAAATTTAGTTGGTTTCCTACCTTTCTATCAACTTATAA